AAATAAAATAAGGTCAATGTTAGAGTAACTTGTCCCTCAGTGTTAACTGACAGGTGTGATTGGTTCCTGTGCCTGTCAGGCCACCATCAGGGCGGAGGAATCTCACCTGTGACAAATCAGCCACTGACGAGCAACAGCGTCTGTCAGAGAGAAGAAGAAGATGACAGGTTTTCTAATGCACCAGATGATAGTTTCACTCGTTGAAGTTAAAGGTGCTTTTTGTTCATGTACATGCGCTCACACTGTTGAAGAGGATGATACAAACACTGTTCAGTGAAGTTTGCAGCTTCCACCAGACTCGATCCTGACACGTGGTGAGTGAGCTGACAACAGAGAGACTCAAACCTCCCTGAACCAGACAAGTTCAAATCAGAAGTACTTTATTATTAATCCCCATAGGGAAATTAAAATGTTACAGAATCAGCCACTGCCAAATGAACCAAAGAACCAGTTTGTCACAAAGAATGGTGTATATATATGATATAAAACAAGGCAGGAGAAGTGAAGGACTCTGGCCTGCGATGAAACAACAGACATTAAATTAATTTAGACCATTTTTATTTGTGAATTAAGAATAATTACTGTCGCTCAGTTGATGCATGACATGCATGACACTGTGAAAGGAGAGGATTTGTTGGAGCAGGATGTTTTGGACTAGAACCATTGGCATCATCATCATCATCATCACCATGTGACATCAGATGCCTCATCATCGTCATCATCATCATCATCATTACCATGTGACATCAGATGCCTCATCATCGTCATCATCATCATCATCATTACCATGTGACATCAGATGCCTCATCATCATCACTACTATGTGACATCAGATGCATCAGACATCACATCAGAAAGGTCAGTGTGAGTTATAATAATGTCCCCAACCCCTGTTTTATATACCCTGCCCCACACACCCACCAGCAGAGAGAAAATATCTGCAGAATGTTGTATCTTTGTTAAAGAAGTGGTGACCAAGATATTGAAAAGGACTTTTTACTGTTGAAAAATGAAATAGACAAAAACACTAACTACAATTGTGATATGACACAGTATACTTTATTGTCCCTGTAGGGAAACTTATCTTGGACTATGTGCTGCACAGATAAATGCCTCCACAGTAAAAACGACTTTTATATAAAAAACACAATCTAAACAAAAACAACATCAGAGGTAATGATGACCATCACTAGACAATAAAAGCCCAGAACAACATATACATACATTAGGAGATTTATTCATGTGGTCCTGGGAGCTTCTGACAGTTTTCCATGGTCTTCTTCAGCTAATGGAGCTTTGTCACAACCACATTTTTATCACAGACAATGACAAAAAATTATTTTTGAGAGGAAAAAATAAAGAGTAAAATATCAATGTTAAATTCAGCCTACATTAGATTGTTAAAGGGCCTGACTACTGTATAATAGACAGTACATGAAACATTATGTGGTGTGGGGAGAATATTATCTATAATGAACATTAGACGACTTTTTGACCGTCATTCATCAATAATTTAGCAGGAGTTCTGAATGTGATGAGTTAATCTGGCTGATAATATCTGTTGTCTGTCTGGTTGGGCGGCAACTGAACGTGCATATGAAACAAAGAAAGTCAATTTGGGAACTGTAATGTGATGACAGTTTAGACAAGAAATTAGGATTAAAGAGATAAATGAGTTAGCTGGGTTTCATGGAGTTTTTCAGCGTGCGTGCGTGCGTGTGTTTGTGTGTGTGTGTGTGTGTGTGTGTTAGGAAGAAGGCATTTGTCTCTAAATATCGATCAGTATTGACCAGAGCAACATCTGAGAGCAGAGGTACCCACTGCTGCCCCTGAGGCCAGTTGCTGCTTTCATGTCTTCATTTTATGATACACTCTCAGTTGCTTTATCATTTACTACTTCTTATCTCACTCGGCTCATTGTGTCCCTCAGCAGTCCTCAAGGCGAGTGTGTGAACGAGTGCACGTCTGCCTGCTTGAGTGTGTATGAGAAGACTTATGCTGCTTCCAAACATGCAGTGAACTCTTGGAATTATCCAGAAATTTTCCGTAGGGGTTGTAATGTATGTCAGAACGCAAATATGCAGGTCAGTTTCTCTGGACACTCTGGAAAATGTCTGAGCCCATTTGAGAATATAGCAGGGAAATGAATAGCGAGCAAAAGAAGCCAGATCATAGTTTTACTTATTCTGTCAATCACACATTTTCAAATGAGACAAGTTCTTACGACGGAGAGTCATTGGCAAGGCGTCAGCTTCGGTGCTACTTGACAAGCCCCGAGCATTCATCCTGGATACCACTGCTGCTGTTACGACTGAGGAGACTGCACGGTATGCTAGCAAAACATGCTGCCAAATAAGGTTCGCACATTCCACCAAGGTTACTGCCAATCACGCTGGTAAATTTAAGCACAGCCAAGCCCGACTCTGGGGATCCGGCATTAAAGAGGTGAGTACACAAGATACAGTCGTGGCTCTAGCTCTGCAGTCAGGAAGGCGATGTTTGGCCTCCCTCCACTTGGAGTTAGTTTGTGTTCTTCATCACACTGGGTAAAGAGAAGGAGCATTATCTCTGCATTAAACCAACTTTGATTTACAAGTTATTTTTTTTAAGAAATGGAACCTTTAGAGACAGAAGAGCTGAGGTAAAAGGACACAACGAAGCAGCCGACATGTGAGCCTGTGTCCCGTGGCAGAGCTCACATGACGTCTCTGTTGTCATGAAATCAAATAGAAAGCTTGAACTGCAGAAACGTGCTTGTATTGATGAGCGGCTCTGACTTTGTCCTGCTTTGTTTATTATCCGACATCGTCTTCAGTCAGCCCATCCATCAACCTGTTTGTCTTTCATGTGTTGACTGTATTCATGGCAAGTGTGCTGCAGCTGCTTGTGTGAGCATCTGTGCGTCTGCACTCGCATGTTTGGAATTCTTTGAAACCCAGCAGACACACAGATGGACACTTTATGGCTGTATTAACTTCCTTGGGAGCTGATGTCAGTCCTCTTCATTTGCGACTACAGTACCTTGTGTCAGATGTCACTTCAGCAGGTAAAGAGCCACAGGGAGTGGCAGTGTTTTGCTCTCTTTTGAATACTTTTCAAGCTCAAATATTCCCCCAGGGGAGTGTTTTTACCATTACAGATGGTTTAGAGGATAGCACACCTGCAAAGAAGTCTGGTAGAAAGAAAATTCATATTTTTCTTTCAGAAACATCTTCACAGTGCTGCACAGAAGCCAGTGTAACACAGTGACAGACAGCACAGAGGTGGTAAATGTCTGTTGTGTAAGCAGTGGGGGCCTTTGAACCACCTCCTCCTGTTACACAACCAGTGGGGGCACCTGTACTCGCCAACCCGCCATCTCTTTAACCTCGCACCCAGTGACACCTGAGCGTTTGTTGTCAGGAACCGGTCTATTAGGTTGACCCCATACCTGTTCTCGCAGAAATGGCAGCCTTTTCCTTTCTTTCGTCACTCAGCCCCACAGCACCACGCCACCGGCGACACCGGTGTGAAGTAGAAATGCCAGGCTCACTCTGTTCCTTTGACCTCCAAAAAGCTGAAAGAGAGATGCTACCATGTGCAGAGTCAGAGCGGAGGATGATGGATGGCTCTCAGCAGTCTGAGAGTGTCGCCCTCCTCTGCAGAAAGAGAACAAATATCTGCCAGGGCTGAATGATGCGTGTGGCCTCTGCTCCCATCATACGGTGCACCGGGTTCTCTCATGTGGCTTTCCCTCAGTTATGCTGTAGAGACAAGGAAAGAAAGAGTGGAGAGGTAGCATGATGGAGAGGGATGTGGAGATTTAGAGGAAGAGAAAGAATGAGATGAGATAAAAAGCAAAAAGAAATGCACAAGGGATGAAGGAGGGTTAGAGTGACATCGAGAGGTAGAGAAGAGAGATCTCAGCTCAGTCAGGTTGCTCGTCTTCACACAGTGGGGATAGACCTTCCATGGCTCTTTCCTGGTCTAATGATCACCCTACAGGATGATGTCTTCTTTACTCTGACATGTGAAAACAGGTCATTTCTCCTAAAGTGACATTTTATCATGTCACCAGTCATTAGTCATTAAAAGCTTCTTTAGCACAAAAATATGTGCATAGTTTTGGTTTTAGCTCAAACACTTTGGGTCTTGAAAAACAGTTGAGTTATGGTTTCTTTAATTGAGTCTTTATTTACTGGGCTACATTGTCTTAATCTATACACAGGCTACAATCTTTGATCTATATTTTAGACCGTCAGAGTCCATGGCGAGAATAGATAAAGGCATCACAAACTTAGCACTCCTGCCTCGTAAAGCCTGGCAACTTTGTTCATAAATTATTGCATGCCAGGGCGAGCTGTGGCCCTGAGGGTTTTTGAGGAGACCTTTAGCTGAGCAGAAATTGCTTTACACCTGTAATATAAATTAAGTGCAGGCAGGGGAGGGAAAGGGATGGACACCTGAACCTCTTCCACAAAGCAATAGCTGCAACCTGATGTTCCCGGCTCATGATTTATTACCACTGGATAGAGCAAGGCTAAGTTTTGAATCCTAAAGTCCTCCTCCGGTGACCTTACGGACAATTTTTAAACAAGCAAAGCTTCAGTTTACAAGGCAAAGTAGGACCATAAAATTCTGCCTGACTACCCAGCCACGGATTCTAAACTTAATTTTGCTTGAACCTTTGACTGCTGCCAATAATCTTACATCACTGTTTGAGATGGACTATCTACAGAGACGCTCAAATATTTGAATAAGGTGATGAGGTCGCAGAAAGATAATCCTCATGGATTATATTTTAATTTTAATTTCGTCTGGAGATGTCTCTATCATCCTCTGTTGACAAAAACTGAGAAAGGACTCAAAGTTTTGCTGGAAATAATGATTGTGTCCTTCTGATGCTGTTGTCGATTTTCTTTCCAGATCAATTTAATCAGAATCTTTCAACAACATAAGCAGAGCACTTGGGAGAACAGCAGGAATTCTCTATTATGGGACACAAACCAGAAGGGCTTGTTGTGAAACTTTCCTTCTGCTCACAAACATGTTGGTCATGGACATGCAGACGTTGGTACTGGCAGGAAGTGTATCCTCCCAGCTTCAAAACACACTTAAAAATAATATAAAGCTTCTGTCACAGTAACATTTTTTTCATGGTCAGTAATATTCAGAGCCTAAAACACTTTGAGTCTCATTAATTAAGACATGGAAGTACAATACCACACCAATCTTAACCGTAATTTGAACCAGGAGGCTTTTACGTCCATGTAATCAATGGAGGCAAAGGTAGACCTGCTCACCTCATTCTTTAAAGTTGGCTGTCACTTTGAAAGAAAGTCTATTTTAAATGATTTGAGTTTGAATACATTTGAATGCAATGCAGTTTATTGACCCTAAAATACATTGTAGAATTAACCTTGTGTGTCAGCCCCTGTCTGTGTGTGTGTACAAAATGACTAAACACCTCATAGTGGATGTTCACCTAACTTGGCAGGATTATTACTTGGCAGGGCATCTCCAGATGATTAACTTTTAGAGTTGATCGGTTGTGGGAGAGTTGAAGGGTTGGCTATGACACAAGGAGATGAGGGGGGTTCTAAAATAGCTCAGCGTTAAGATGATATGTGTGAAGTGTGCCTTTCGAAGTGAATAATCTTTTTCACTTTTCACTCAAATGACAAGAGCGCTGCAACTGTTTAACAGCAGCGTTTATCACGTTTTAGTTGAATCTTCAAACTAAAGTGTTCAAATTAATGTTGGTTTTAGTTTCCCCCAGCCGTCCAAATCCAAAGTAACAGTTTTATACAAATGGAGGAGAAGCTCTTCAGAATGAGACGTCTACAAAGTGGTTGACTCTTCATCAATTTACATGCAGC